TTTTGAAACTTAATTTTATAATTAAATTATTTTAAAAACCTTTTAAAAAACTTAAAATCTTTATTAATAAAGTTGATTAAATATATATTAAATTATATTTTTTATATAGTAATAAGATTACTAAAATTAATATTTGATATTTTATAAAGAAATTAACAATTATTTTTAATTTTGCAGGCAAATTTGCCTACTAGACAATCTAAGGGATAATTATATTTTTTTAGTCTTTAAGAATAATACAAATTGAATTATATGAATTATATATAATTAATAGATTTAAAGATAAATTTGTTAACTAGATAATTTAAGATATAATATAATTATAATCTTAAATTAATATTGATATTGATTTAATTTAATTATATTAAATATTAATTTAAATTAAATTATTAAATAAATAATTTAAATACTTTAAATATTAAAAAAAATAATAAAAATTTTTTTTAAAGTTATTATTAATTAGCATTAGCAAAATATTTGTTAACTTAGATTAATTAAAAAAATATTAATAAAATAAATGATATCTTTATTATATAGAAAGGAAAAACTGCTGAAAAAAATAAATAATAAATTAATATTTAATTTAAATATATATATATATAAAAGTAAAGATACATTTAAATTTTTACTAAAATTTTAACAAAATATATTTTAAATAATTTATTAAAAAAATGCAAATTAATTTCAAAAAAAAACTTTACTAATTTATTCAATTTGATAATAAGATTTAAATTTAATTCAATTTTTATTCTTTAATAAATAAATAATTTGAATTTATATTTATTTTGATTAATAAATTAGAATTCTATATATATAATTAGTTCAGACTTACAAGGCTATTTATTTTCTAATATATTAAATATTTATTATTAATATATATTTTATTCTTTAATTACACTTATGGCTTTTGTACATTATTAGTTATATAATTAATTTTTTATTGCTATAATATGAGCCAATATCATATTATTATTAAGAAAAATTTGTAAGTGGATGTCAATGCTTTCTATTGTTTATATTGTTTATATTGTTTATTATTACAAAGTATTTTGGAACGAATATGTTTTGTATCAAAAATCCCAATTATCATCCTTATATATTATTTAAGAGAAGGTTTATTTTATATTGAGAAACTAATATTTCCTGGTATATTATAAATCATCACAATTTATTATAAAAGATTTGGATTATACTGTAAATAAGTACAAAATAAATTTGACTCTTTTTTGCTTGAATCACATAAAATCGCGCATGAAACTCGCATAGAACTTTGTTTACATAATCCAACAGCACTAGTCAAATTTCTATATTTGCCTTTTTTTTAACGGTCTGTGAATATTTCGATTTGTTCGTTTACTATCTATATCTGTGATTAAAAAAGGGGAGGTAAAAAAAATGCTTTTACAGCTTTTTTTGATACACAAGTATTTAACAAAGAAAACATAAAAAAATGGTTAGTCTCAAAAATAATGATAATCAATTATCTCATATAATTTATAGTAATTATGAAAATTACTATCTTTTGATTGGTTTAATATCATTTGATAATTTCTTCCGAAACTTGCTAGAATTACAATTAATTAAGAATACATGCTGACATAAATTTTGTTCCATATATATATATAAATTCTAAAGAAATTATGATATTTATCAAAAATCGTGATAAGAATAATTTTAGTGATGTAGACTTTTACTTTTTTTAATATTTGTCGTCATAAAAATTTATATATAATTTGATACGTCAATATTCGTCACGTCACAATCATATTTAACAAAGTATACACATTATACGAAGGACAACAATTATTATAAGTTCAATGTGAAAAACGAAACTGCATATAAAATAGATATAATTAATATAAAAAGAAAGTAAATGATGTTTATTTACCTGAGGAAAAAGCGCAAATAAAATGAAATACGGCAAATTCAACTCAGTATAACTATTAAATAATATTCTCAATTACCTTGAATAAATTAATACCCGATCATTTTTTATAATAAAATTTCTTTCGTACCAATTTATCTAGAGCCAATTCGATTCCTTCATCGCTTGAACTCTGAAAATTTTATTAAATTATAAGGTTTATCAATCAAAGTGTGAATAACTACCATCGAAGGTTTTTAAGATCCACCAAAATAGGAATTGCTTGATTGATAATTTGATGCATATATCATGAGTATCGACTAAATGGATATTAAATTGATACTTACAATGGTTTGATTATATTTGGTTACCTGTAATGTTGAAAGAAATTTCCAATCTTTGTTTGGAAGAATCTTTCAAAAAAGATTAAAGGATGATGTATTTAATTAAAATATGCGCCAAATAAATAATTTAGAGACGTCAGATTTCATATCCACACTAGTCCATTCATCAGACATAAACATATTAATATAAAAAAAGACAAAACTATTAGAATAATGGATCTTGTCCTTTTAAATATTAAAAGGAGAAACTGACTACAATGACAAAAAAGAAACAATTCAAGGAAAGTCAAACCAATTCTTTATTATTATCTTAACTTCAAATGATAATAATATAATGCCTTTTTTTATTGGTTAAAACCGGTAAACTTCGAGGGTATTTAAACCAATAAGAAGTATCCATGTTTTGATAATAGAATATTAATGCTTTGTGACATAAAACCTGGGTTTTTGTTTCAAAATTAAACTTTTTATGTTGTTAGATCGATTGTCATTTTCGGGTATGTTAGTATCATGTGATCGCCGAAAATTATACTTTAATAGGTGACATGACGAATTTTTCTGTCAAAAATTTTTAATCGAAAATTCCTTTTACTGCTTTTTCTGGATTTAGTTATATTATTGTTAAGGGGGTTTCAGAACAAATGGCGCAAATGTACGTGTGTTACATGTGGCGTGGCGAGATTTGTCCAACAATTGGTTTTTTAAATACTTGAATGATAGACCGCTTGGCATTATTCGGCGTTTATAAATATCTCTCCCGATATATATTTTTTTTTTTCATTTTTTTAAAAAATAAAATTATAAAATCATGTCTTCCATGATATCTTCTCTCACAAATCAATCGATCGAAAAACAAGAACCCTTGGTTCATATTTTAGAAAAACAGGCAAAGGAATTTGAAGAATTTGGTAAACGCATGAGCGTAGAATTACAATCTTCTTATCAAGATTATATTCGACAACATGAACCAAACATACCAAAATCGGATACGGAGTCTGAAGTGAAGAGCGCAATCACTTGTGAATGTAAAGAAAAAACCAAATTAATTAATTCCATGAAGGCTCGTATTGAAGAATTAGAATCAGAATCCATTATTAAAAATCAAGAAATTAAAAAACTTCAAATAGATGTTCAATCACTTTTTGATATGCTCTCAAAGAAAGGTATTACGGAAGTTGGAAGAGTCAATCCTATACCCACCCAGATCACTATTACCTCCGAGATTGAAGAAGATAATCAAGTTGATATCGGAATAACTCTGAGAAAAGAGAAACAAGAGATTGAGAAAGATAGACTATCGGTTAAAAGTTTTGATATTAAAAATAGCTACTCGGATTCTGCATTAGATCTATTTACAGATGATGATGATTATTATTCTTCATCGAGTGAAGAATCGATTAAGACGGAACCCAATTGGATAGATCCCAAGAAGCTCAATAATAAGTATGACAAACCTTCAGAATGGCTTGATGTTTCCCCGACATTGATACAGGAAAGAATTTATCGTGCAAAGTCCGATAAAAAAAATTTAGATCGTTGGAATTCTAAAATGGCTTCTAACGGTCTATTACCAATCTCGTTGGTTGGAAAAGTTGATGCCGAAAAAGAAAAGAAAATACAGACTCATCGAAAAAGACACAGTACATCTGCGATCTGGGTAAAAACTTATGAGAATAAACCAACTTTGAAGAGAGAGGAGAAATTTAAAATGCCATCATTTAAATTTCCTTTTAATACGACCGATGATAACAAAACAAAACAAAAGGAAATTAAAGATACTTCTATCCCTCCTATATCTTTAAAAAGTTCAGTTAGTACTTCCATATTTGAAACCTCTACTACTACTTCTTTGATCTCTTTTGAAACTCAGAAACTTAATAACAATAGCAAAGCCCAACAAATGCTTGCCTTGTATAAATAATTAGTGGAATAGATTTGTTATAGACTTTAATTTTTTTGTAAATTTGTATTATTTTATTTATTCATTTATTTATTTATTTAGTGATTTTTTTGTGTAGAACACAAAATAAAATCATTTCATCTTTCAATTCGTACATATTTCGTTTACACGCAAGTGTGGCTTGGTTGTAGTTAATTTTGTGTCGAAGAACAATTTTTTTTTATTTACATTAAACAAATTAATAAAATTAACTTAAGCTACCACCTAAAAATGTTACTCGTTATTTCATGTATAAAACAAATGTTGAGATATATCTTTTTGTTTGTCGTATGATCTTAATAATTACCAATGTTATGCCCCTGCAGAATTTCATTTTACACAAGAGATTTACCAACATATCTTTCCATGTATTATCTAAAATATGAGACGAATTGTCAGCTACCGATTAAAACCAATTAATGGATATATTAGGTCTTGTATCATCCAACTTTGAGCCAATTGAAAATTGGATAACTTCATTTCTGTAATTTTTTTTCATGACAATCAAAATCAAATTCCCATATTCGGTTCGTCTTGATATTATTGGATCATGTCACAGATTCAGATTCCAATAAAATCCGTGGAAATAAGGAAATAAGAAAACTCCGAATTCGGTATTAAACTTTCCCCATTAGTTCGCAATAATTTCTATATTAATAATATATTTACATCCATAAATTTTTTAAAGTATAACATTATATAAAACTATATAATTTATGTAAAATTAATATTGTATTAAAAATAAATAACTTAAAATAATTTAAGTTTAAATTATTTTTAATTAATTTTAAATTTATTAATAAAATAATGATACTAAAACTTTATTAATAAAATTTATGCCTATTATAGATTATCCATTTTTTTACTATTTATAGAATTTATATATATAATTAACTTTATATATATATATAAAAACTTTTGTATTTATTTTATTAATCAAAATTTTTTTTAAAAATAAATCCAAATACAGTTCAAATCACCTATACTCTACAATAGTCCGAAATTTATAAAGCAAATCACATGACGTTACACGATATTTTAACCAATCAAATCATTACATTTTTATATACGCATAATCTTAAAATCAAATTTCAACTTTATTTAATTCTTCTAAAATATTATCAGGAACACGCCTATGAGATTTATATTTTTTTACAGCATATTCTGCTAATTTTCCTCTAATTCCTTTATGATAAATATCCATATATCGCCATATTTTTCTTGTAAATTTTTTAATTGTAATTAAATTAATAGAATCTAAACCTAAAGGAACTGTTTTTTGCAAACCTGCCCAAGAATAATCACAATTTTCACATGTAAATTTTTTTGTAGCTCTCCAATGCATTTCAATAAAATTTACCTCACAATAAAACTTAGGATAAAAAATACATTTGTGACCTGTTGTTGAAATAATTTCATGTAATACACCTTTTTGAGCTATAAAATCTGGTTCTAAGGATATATTTGTCTTACATAACAATTAATCTGATTAGGATCTTTATTTCCTGCTTTACATAACTAACAATCTGCTTTCAAACTATCTCTTCATTTTCCTCTTTCTAAAAGTACTTATTTCATTTCCTTAGATTTTCCGCATAAATTTTTCATCAAAATAATTATTTGGAAAGCACATATCTTGATAATTATTTTTTCCCTAAGTTATACTTCGCATTGCTGGTTGTTTTCAATCTGGAGAAAGATTTATTTTGCTTGCTATAAGAGCATCTGGTAAAAATGCAGCATGATTTGAACTGTTATCAAATGCAAATATAGCAATACAATTAGAAAACAATGCTTCAAAGTTTGGAATTGCTTTTGATTTTACTTGTTTTAATAAATGATTCATTGTCTAATAACCTTCTTGATTTTTTCTGGGAATTAAATAAACACGTGTTTCCTTTGGAATATTAGGATAATTTTCAATTGCTTGAGTATCTAATTTAAGCTGTCCACATGCTTCCGTTAGAAATTCAGTTATCATAATTGATTGACCATTTCCTTTTTTTCTCAATGATAATTTATCTGTTTTTGCCTATACATCACGTTTACTATCATTTGAATAAAAAATACATTTATTGTGTGTTACCAAAATATGTTCTTTTTTATCATTCTTAAGATTTGGTGAAATTCTTTCTATTGTTTCTCCATCATAATTTGCTATATATGATTCATATTTAGCAATTTCTTTTAAAATTTGTTTTCGATATTCTACTACATTATCTCTTTCATGTCCATCAAAATATACTCCTTGTTTTTGTTGTTGATAAAAAAATCCAATACATTTAACCACTGCCTTGCTGTAGAATTAGAAATAGTTTTTTGTTTAGTAATTCCAGTCTCCGGTAAAAGAGTTTGTTCAACAAACTCTTTAAACTTTATTGATGTTGTATGCCCTCCTTGACTCTGAATCCAAATTTGACATTTTTCTGATATGTCTTCATCGTTAATTAATTGAACAATTTTTTGGTGTTTACCTTAAAAAGTTGGTGGAAGCTGAGCATTTTGAAGCCAATATTTTGCTCAGACTCTAATACATCGCGCTTTATATGGATGACAATCTATAAAAACTAATTTCGCAGCTTCTGTACTAGCTTTTATTAATCCTTTTCCATCTTTTTTAACTTGTTTTAAAATTTCAAAAATTACTCTTTTTTTATTGTATTCAATTACTGACATTTCATGTTGATTATTTTTTAGTTCTTCCTTTAAATTTTCAACTTTAATTTCAATTTCTTTAAAGTTCTATACATATTCGTCATCTATAAAACTTTTTCAACATCATCTGTTTCACCTTCTATTTCTTTATTTTTTAAGCTAAAAAAACTAGTTAATTTTGGTGTGTTTTCTGCAGCCTTGGTCCATTTCCCACTTGGTCCATAATTATCATAAAATATAGATTTTTTAGTTGATCCTATTAAATATGGTCTGCATGTTTTTTTTCTAAATAAGCATTTTTTTCCATACTAATTCTAAATTCAAAAGCCTTTTATAATTAGCTTCTGCTAACTTTAAATCAATATCCTCTTCCCATTCACTATCATCATCATTACCTCAATCTTCAATTTCTAAATCTTCAGCACCTTCAGTTTCTTCCTCAAAATTTGTTTTATTCTGAGTTTCAGCAATAAAAGTACCATTAATAATGTGAGATTTTGTTAAAGCAATGTGACTTTTTTTTGATAAACGACCCATTTTTTCAAAAAGAAAAAAATGCCAATTAGATTTGGATTTATTTATCTATAAATACATAGATTATCCATAACCTTCAGTACGGATACCAATAAAAAATAAGTAAACCCAGATATTACCTAAAGACAAATTTATTCAATTCATCAAACAAAAAAACTGCTGGTAAAACTTTCCATTACATAATAGTATATCAACTATGTTCATTTTATTCAAACCAGTTTTGGTTTTGTTTGTTTTAACTTTTAATCCATTTATTTTAGAAAACTACAACTTTCTCTTAATAGTCTTCTGTTTATAGTATTGTTATAAAGTCTTTTCAGTTGCAGCATCTCTACGTAAAATAATAATCACATGTTTGATAAATTTTAATGAGACAAAACTTGACTGATAATGTGAAAAAAAAGGTTTTAAAGAAATTTGAGTAAACATCAAAAAAAATGTTGTCTGAAAGTAATGAAAGCTTTAATGAAAAAGCCAATTACAAAACATTAAAATCCCTTATAGTATAATAAAATAAGAGGAAATGGTATCGAAAAATTATAAATTATACGAATGTTACATAAATATCCGCGGATATCTGCATATATTCATAAAAAAAGAGATGAAAGCATTTCACAATATTTCACGTGATTGCGTTGATTTTGGCTAGAATTATAAAATCTCAGCTAATTCTGGCCAAAATTGAAGTTCTGAATACCTGAATTTAATAATAATATAATCTGTTTTCAAACTTTTATAATTATTGATGCAGTTTATTTTCGAAAATAAATATGCCACAAAAATTGTTCTTTATATCTCAAAGTTTCATATTTGTGGTTTATATTTTTTGTATTATTTAAACTTTGAGAGAGATAAAATTTCAAAATTAAGTAAGGTTTATGTAGAGATTGCAGAAAACTCTTTCTCCTTCGTTGGATTTTATCTAAGAATTTTTACTTTAAAAAAGTGTCTGTTCAAAGGCGGCCGCGGCTTAGCCTGCGAACAAAATAAAAAACCCCTCTTTTCAAAAATTTTTCTCTTTTTGTTTTCCCAAACCCTATCCACATAAAAATTGCTGTAGAAGTCTAAACTGTGTTGTTTTTTGTTAAAATATTTTTTTTTCACCTCTCTACGGCATATTTTTTCTCATTTTTTCATTTTCAAAATTATTTGCCCATAAAAGTGGGCATCAAGGGGTATCCCAACAATGATCACGATCAACATACTTTGGATACACAAATCTGTGTAATGACATTCCATTTCTTTCCTAAACGACAACACTCTTTTTTTGCAGATCTCTGATGTCGAAGACTGCAGAATCCTATGCAGTATTTTCTGAACTTGACTGACTGTGTGATTTGGGTCTCATCCTGTGCCAAAGTCAGCTGTAATATGAATTGACAGACATCTTAACATTGGAAGCGATAGTCCAAAGAACTTCTATTGAAACTTAGTGATATAAATGCATTTATGCCAGATGGTCGCTGTAATCTGGAATTAACTAGACAACTTAGCTAGAAACTTAGTAGAGTCATATTTTTGTTGCTTCTTTTTATAAATTCTTTAGCGTAGATAGTCAGGTTTTATAGTTACTTCTTCAGAAAATATGTCACTATTAGTTGAAGGGTTACATTTTTGTTTTTGTTTTTCGGGAATTTACTTAGAAAGGAGATAACGAAGTAGTATTGATCATAGTTTATTTCCATCTCCTGTTGAAGATAGTAGTCATTATGTATGCATGTAGTGTTGTCATGGAACATTTTTGGATATGGCCTGGAACATTGGGACTTAATGTGAGACATTTTGGGACATAGTGTGTGACAGTCTCAAAATGTTTAGAACATCGAAAATGTACATCACCGCATATGTGTAATGGGTCTGTTGGAGGAGGGTGGCGATGCTCGGTCAATTCAAACGAACTTGCAATATAGTTACAGGGGTAGTTAGTCATTTGTTTGTTAGTTTTTGATTTTAATATTATTGTATTTTTGTATAAATTAATAAAATGTACTAACAGTACCACATTGTTAAAACATAAAAAAAAATGATTTCGATCATTTCGACCATTTCGGATACCCGAAATGATCCATTTCGACTTCATGTATAATTATATTAGTAAATTTATTATTTTTTTTTTGAAATTTTACTAAAATAATAAAATGGAAAAATATATCATGTTTTTTTATATTTTTTTTAAAAAAAATTTAAACAAATTTAATAAATGATTAGTTTCATATTCATTATATTATTTTTATAATTGATTTGAAATTACATGATATACAAGTCAAGACAGGTTAGATTAAAGATATATTTAATTTAGGTTAATTTTATATCTGATTTGACCTAATCTTATTAGGTCATGTTAAATCAATTATCTAATCTGACGTATTCAGAGCTCTATTTGAAATATATTAATACAATGTGAATTAAATATAGTTAATAAAATCTAAAAAAAGTTTAAGTTAATAATTTAATTATATAAGAGGTTTGTTAGGAAAATGAGATTCTAAGTGTTTTTTAAATTAAAATTTTAATAAAAATTTTTAAAACTCCATATTTCTAATAAACCTTTAATATAGTAAATTATAATAAAAAATTATTTTAAATACCTTTAAAGTAGCTTGAAACTTGCAAATAGAATAAAAATAAAAGTAATAATTATTTAATATTTTAATTAATAATTTATTTAGATTTATTAAATATTAAGAGTATTAATTTGATATATAATACTCATTAATATATTAATTAAAATAAATAAATAATTTTTATTTTCTATATAATCTCAACTTTAAAATAATCATCTACTTGCTATTTATATTATTTGATTATTTATAATTTATAAGTAGTTTAAAGTAATAATATATTCTTAAAAGATTAAAAGTATTAGTAGAAGTATTTTTAAACATAATGTTTTAATAAACTATTTAGATTTGAAGTTTTTAATCAAAGTTTTTTATTATTAGAAGTATTAATATATATTATCACTAGCAATAATTCATTTTTCATATTTTTGTTTAAGTCATTTTATTACAGCAAGTAAATTGCTTATCATTAAACTTTACAACCTTAAAAAATTTCACGTCTTACAAGTATCTGAAATTTCTTAAAATTACTTTGTTTAATTTTACAAACTTAAGAATTTAGGGATTTAGGAAAACTTAGAGAATTTATTTATTTTTAATAAAAAACTTAAAAGCAAGTTAGTGTAGTTATTCATAATCAAATCCTAGATATAGATACATAGAAGAAATGTAATTATATTTAAAGTTGATTTTTTTTATTTATTACTTGAAATTTGTAATAAATAAAAATTTTGAAACTCATAAAAGAGTTAATTTATAACTTAAGCAAAAAGTTATTCTATTTATACAAAATTACTACAATTAACTAATTATTATATTATAAACCAACTAAATTTGTAACTATAAATGTTAATATATAAGATATAATGAATATATAAAGTATAATAAATATAAGTAAGATAATAATTATAATGAACATAATAAATATAATAAGAATAATAAATATAAGTGAAATAATATATATATCAGGTTTATAAGACTGATCAAGCTGATCAGAAAAATCAGAAAAATCAGAAATTATACAAATTTTCTAATTTTAAAATTATATGAATATTAAATATCTACTATATATTATAATAAAATTGATTAAAAATAGATTTTTAATAATATTTATATATATATTAAGAAAAAAATTATAAAAAATTATTTATTTTTTTATTTAAATAAAAAATGTATGTGATTCCTAATATTAACAATAATAAAAATATTATCTTTCTCTAAATAAGAAAGAATGATATCAATATCATCATTATTTTCTATTTATCTTTTTTTTTTTTACAAATTTAATTAATATTTAAAAAAATTTATTTTATATTTTATAATAAAATTTTTATTAAGCTTTACTTTTTTATATTTATTATAATAATAGAAAAAGTTAAAATTAAACAAAGAAAAAAAAAGTAAATGAAATTATAAAAAAACAAAGAAATATAAAAAAAATATATATAATTTTCAAATATTTATTTTTTAATTATTTATTTCAAAAATAAATATTTTCAATTTTAAAAAAATGATTTTAATTTTATTATAAGACTATTAAGTTTATATCTTATTAATTTAATCATCCTAAATTTCCAAGTTTTTTAATAAATCTATATTTTTTTGCATCTTATTTCTTTTTTCAGTTAAGCTTTCATAATTTAACCTAATAAAATAAATATGAATGAATAAAATAAATTAATTAATTTCAATGAAATTATATTATTTAATTTATCAGAAAAAGGTTAATGTATATATATACCTATCTATCTTTTTGGCAGTTGCAGGAGCTTTACTTTCGTATTCAGGTTTTTCCATTCGATTTTTCAAGAAATCAAGTTCTAATACAACTTTATCCAACTTTCTATTAAATTCTTTTAATTTGTCATCTTTACTTATATTATTTTCCTTTAAGAAAATTTCATATATTGATGACATTGGCACGTATACTTTAAGGTTCGATGTTACGAAACTAACCGCCGAATTATTTAACGAACTATCATCCTATAATTATTCATAATGAATATTAAAATCAATGGTTGTTAAAATCAACAATTACGAATAACCTTACCTGTGAATCAATAACCTTAAGTTCAGAGGCTTTAATGAATTTTTGTATATCTTTAAAATTCTTCTTGATTGGACCTTGATCATTTAACAATTCTTGATCACTTGTCCATATTATAAAAGGTAAAGGTTTTATTGGTATATTATTTTCTTGTCTTAAAGAACGTGAAGCACGGATGATATCTAAAACGACCTGGAAAAAATAAAGATTGAGATCCTCAATCCTTTAAAAAATGTCTGATCAAAGCATCACGATATACCTGCATATCATATTCAACTTTACTATCTTGCCACATACTAAAATCCGCGATATTTGGATATTCGGCCAACATAATTGATTCTGGTAAAGATTTATTCTCTGATCGATTTAAAAGACTTTGCCATAATTCCTATAAAAAAACCTAAATGGAATAAATGAAATACTTCTTACAAAAACTAATTATATTATACCTCAGTAATGAATGGCATAAAAGGATGAAGCAATCTTAAGGAAGTATCCAAACATATTTCCAAGACTCTTAACGAAGCCTTTTGTGACTAATAAAAAGAACTTGATACTTTATAATTTGTTAACTATTCCAGACACAAAATAAAAAAAAGGGAAATGTACTTGATAATCGACATCTCCTAGATTCCCATATAAAACCGGTTTAACAAATTCCAAATAAACTCCGCACAAGTTCCCGACAATGAAATTTCGAAGAGTATCAGTTACTTCATGTAACGCCATCTTTTGGAATCCATTTTGGGCATATACTATAGTATTGGCCATTTTGGATAGGATATATCTATCCACTAGTGATAGATGATCTGTATACGCACATAATGAGGAAGCTGATGATGTCTTGTATAGCGATACAACATGATTCAACGAATCAAATCTATCATATGCGAACTTAAATAGATTCCATATTTTGTTACAAAAATTTCTTGTTGACACAACATTTGATATGTCTAAATTAATTTGTCGTGTCTATTTCAAATAGGTTTTTAAATAATCAGATTAGAATAAAAATAAAAAATAACAAAACTTAGAAATAATAAATCATCGCTTTCTTACTTGTTGGGTATAAGATATTAAACTAAATCTCAAAGAATCAGTGCCACATGCCTTAATACCTTCTGGAAATTCTTTAGCTAACAATGAAGCACTCTTTTTCATCTCACTTTTTGTAAGGTTACTATCACTTAAACTTTGTTGCATTTCTTTTGGTGTAATACCATAAATTACATGTAAAGGATCTATTACATTTCCAAGTGATTTTGACATTTTACGTCCTTGTGAATCTCGAACCTACAAGATAAATTTTTTTTGTTAAGAAAAAATATCATATTTATAATATTTCATACTTTCCTACCATTGCATGCAATAAAATATTCTTAAAAGGCGGTTTTCCAGAAAAATAAGTACACAGCATGGTCATTCTAGATACCCAAAAGAACAAAATATCAAACCCTGTTTCAATCATAGTTGTAGGATAATTCATCTATTAGAGTATATCAAGCATTAATCGACAAATCAATAAATTCCAACTTAATATATAACAGATGTTATTTACAGGAATTTCATGACCTCCATTCCATTTTAAAGCAGATAAAGGTAATAAAGCTGACGAAAACCAAGTATCCAGTACATCATCATCCTTGTAATACAAATAAATCATAATCATAATTTCTTAGTTAATAACAACAAACAATTTCCGATTTTATACATCATATCCTTACTTGTTTCAAATTATAATTGGTTTGTAATGAAATATTGTTCTGTCTAAAATATTCTTTAACGAGTTGATCAGCTTCATTCATTGAATCTGTCACAAACCATAATCCATTATCTAAATAAAAACATATAGTCAAACTTGGTCAATCATATATATTTAGAATTAACTTTACATCAACTCACCGGATGTTTGACCTTCATATGATAAATTATATGCAGGAACAGAATGGCCCCACCACAATTGTCTTGATATGCACCAATCCTGTATATTCCCTATATTATAAATTCCATTCATGATTAGTAACTTTAAACATTATTATATAGTTCTATCATAACGTAATAAGATATACACCTAACCATCTATTCCATTCTTCAATATGATGACCAGGTTTAATAACAATACTTCCATTCTCAACATCCTGTAAAGCTCTCAGAGCCATATCTTTACACCGTAAATACCTAAATAGAAATGTTTGAAATAAAATCTCAAACTTTGAATTTATTTATTATTTCTAATTCGATTTACCATTGAGGTTGCAATAATTGCTCAATTACATCTCCAGATCGAGAACATATAGCAACTCTCATCTCATGATTTGTATCTTTTCCACGATAATAACCCAAAGACTGTAATTTATCCACAATAATATTACGTACATCAAATCTATCATTGTTCTACTTGATCCAAAGAAATAAATTTTAATGGTTTTTTTTTAGTAAAAAAATTTGATCATACGGTTAAATTCTCAACTTACAATCAAATCAATTATTCCGCAATTATCATTCAATTTGCCATTCTTATTAAAAATATTTATTATAGGTAATTGATGCCTGCGTGCGCAAGCATAATCATTTATATCATGCCCAGGTGTCACCTAATTTGATATAAATTAATCATAATTCAATTGAGGTTTAAAAAAATTTTTTTTACTACATACCTTCACGGCACCTGTTCCAAATTCCATATCAACAAGTTCAGGATCACACACAATCGGTATTCTTTTATTAAGTAAAGGATGTATAACATATTTTCCATGCAAAATCTATAACATATATAAATTCTTTTTAGGAAGGAGAGCCTATTGTGAAAGTCGACAATAATTTTTTTTTAAACAAACTCAACCAACCTTATAACGAGTATCATCAGGATGTATAGCTACAGCGGTATCTCCCAAAATTGTTTCAATTCTTGTTGTAGCGACGACCAACTCTTTCAAACCTAATGAACCATTGTCAGCGATAGGATATGCGAATTTATGAAGTACACCAAATTCGACTCTAAATTATAATAAAAAACAACTATATTTATTTATTTTATTTTTTTTTAAAAAGAGGTTAAAAATGATAAATCATAATAATTACTTTTCCGCTCTACCGGGTAAACTCAAAAACATTTGCTTGGAAATAGTTTCATAATCTACCTTTAAAGTATAATTAAAGAAGTTTCATAATAAAAGATTACAAAAATCGTTGCTTATAACTTTTAAAATAATCTTACTTCAATATCCGAAATAACAGTTTCCAAAGCACAACACCAATTAACTAGCCTAGTATCCCGATAAATCATTCCATCATTATATAATCTAATGAATGCATTTGTTACGGCTTGTGAACGTGGGGGGTCCATTGTAAAAAACAAATTGTCCCAATCCAATGAAGCTCCTAAACATCTCTTACATAATGTGCAATAATGAATTTAATATGATATTGCGGATAATTACTAAAAAAGTACAGAATCAAAATGTCTTAATTACCAATTGTTGAATTATTTTATCACCATGAAGTTTGCGCCAATTCCAAATTTCTTTGACAAAATTATCTCTTCCAAGATCATGACGAGTAATCTACCAGAAAAACTTTGTGATTTGATTAAGGCTAAACTTTGGCATAATTACTTTTTTTTTTTTTTTTTTTTTTTGTATTCTTACATTTTGTTCTTTGAGAAGCTTTCTTTCAACAACAGATTGTGTTCCAATACCAGCATGATCTGTTCCAGGTATCCAAGAAACTTGATATCCAGACATTCGATACCATCTACTTAAAGCATCCTATATAACGTCTTAATTAATTCTATAAATCAATCTAAAACATATCTACTATAATATCTTACTTGTATACTAAACGTCAATGCATGTCCTATATGTAAAGATCCTGTAACATTTGGGGGAGGTGAAAGCATAATAAATTTGTCTGAATTCTTATCATCCGAATTCGTTGATCCAAAGAATCCTTTTAAATTAATATAATAATTCGCTTTAGTAAAAATAAATAAATAATATATATATATGTATATACAATTTGAGATACCTTTTTGATCCCACCAATCATACCATCCTTGTTCAACAGACGCCTTTATAAAAATAAAATATAATCAAATATTTCAAAAAATTAACCAAGATTTTTTAAAAAGATAAATTTTTTTTTATCTTACAAAATCATAACTTTTTCCTAATTTTATTGACGGTTTTTGTATATTTTGTAATTTCTTTAAAGTTACTTCATTATTTCCTGGTAGACTTAAGTTCCTTCGATGACATTTATTAAGAAAATTTATATAATTATAATGTTTTCTTGTTATATTAAAAATGCGATCCATTACCAACAACTTATTGTAGATCGGATATTTTAACATTTAGATTTTATAGTTTTTTTTTGTTAGATGGTGCGACCTGATGACCAACATTTCATAATAGGAAATTACTGTAACACATAAAATCGCGTTGAATCAACTTTTCCTTCATTTCAAAGAAAGTATAAATTTCTTTAATACTGGTTATATATACTACCACAACATGCGAAAAATCATTAACTAAATAAAACAAATACAGTCGACCCCCTCTATAATCACACCCTCGGGACCATGAAATGGTGTGACTATATGAAGGTGTGCTTAATCTAAGGGAACTATTATTATAATCACTTATATGTAAAAAATATTGGTGATTATATGTAAAATTTTGTAATTTTATGTAATATTTTAAAATTTTGTTAAAAATTTTGAAGAAAATAAGTAGTATGAATTAAACGTTATCATTTCACATAATTATTATATAAAAAAATCTAAATAAAGAGTACGATCTCGGTCAATACTGCTCCTTTCTCATGAAAAAACTACCATTCGAATCCTCGAAACTAGTTGAATCCAATGAGCTAATATACATCGAATATTGATCAGCCAATCACGAGATATTCGCGATTGATTTTGAATCGGGTAGAATTTATTGAATTATAATTTCGGCCGATAATTCAATCGTGAATATCTCGAAACTGAGTGATCCGAAATCGATGTAAATTAGCTCATTTGATTCGACTAGTTTCGAGGATTCGAAAAGTAGAAAAACGAAGCGGTATTGACCGAGATCGTACTCCTTTTATTTTAGATATTTTAGATAATAAAATTAATATTTACCGTGATTATATAAAGGGATATAATTTGATGTGATTATATAGGAGGCGATTTTCTTACATTTATTATAAGATGGGACTAAAATTGATGTGATTATATTTTTATATACTATCGTGATTATAAAAAGGGTATTTTCTTATTTAAAAAATTGGAACTGAACTATTATGTGACTAAAGAAGGGGTGTGATTGTATAGAGGTGACTATAGAGGGGGTTAACTTTATGTATCATTTCCGGTATTGTTTTTTTTGAAACGATATAATAGGTGGCAAGTATGTAAGAAAATTCCCTCGGAATCCTATACGTCTTGATCATTAGGAGAATCTGTGCGCCTTTGGTTCTACCCTTTAGGAGATCCTATCTGCGAATTGTACGTTTAAAAGATTTAGTAAATTAATTTCCGCTTAAATCGGTTGAAATCAAACAAGAATATCCTTCATTTTGCCCAGGTCAATCATAATCATAATCATTACTTTTTAGCAGAAAGCAAAAACTTTTAGCAAGTTTTTTGTGTAATTTAGAAGGAATGCGATATTTATAATGATTAATTGAATTTGGTATAAAGGATCACCATTTCCACGAATGGAAACGTCCACAAAATTCAGTTTGAAATTAGAAAAATCGTGTCCCAAAAGCTGACCGACAGACCTCAATGTAATTAAATAATTTACGAAAGGTGCTAATTCAGAAAAACATTATCCCAAGATCTATAAGGTTGATCGTTGGGTCATCACATATATATAAAATGTGGTTCATTTTAACTTTGAGGAATGCCTTTATAATAATAAATTAAATTAAATTCATTGATCATTCGGTTATTTCGGTTATTTGGGCTAGATTCTTGCTGATCGTTTTTGGCCGAAATTCAACTCTTTTATGGGTTAAAGCGCCAAGCAAGTCAATAATTTCATATCAGTGTTTTCCAATGCGAGAACTCAAAATAATCTGAAAATCTGTTTGACGCGCAACGTTTGACATATGTGCATAGAGTTCAGAAGCGCATGCATGGACCGCATGTACGCAAATGTATATCATAGCAATTTTAAATGATCAGGTTTTTATTGCTAAATAAAGTCATGTCAAAAGAGGTAATTATGGTGATGGTGATCAATAGAGTGGTGTGACATTCTATATAAGGGTAAAATATGATTAAATTATATTTACGCTTATACTACTGCGTTTTCTTTGTAATAATATTTTGATTAAAATCAAAATTCTCCTTGCATTTAATATTTCATGTAAAAATTGAAATGTAATAAAATCTCAATTCCGTTAAAGAATTCTCAAAACTACACGATCTATTAGAACTTTAACGCTTGATCGACATTAATTCAATTTGCTATTACATGTATTAATGCTTTTCTACTTTCGAACTCGTTTGATCAATTTTCTATTTGAAGATAATAAAATCATCTTTTATTTATTACGCGTTTTCTGAAAGAAAAATTAGAGAAAAATCCACTTGTTAAATTTTACTCACTTAATAAAAAAAAATTATCAAATTAAGCTTTCATCTTTTATTGAAATGATAAAAAAATAGGGGGGAAAAAGTTCATTCAATTAACAGTATTCCAAAATTCCATTACATTAACCCATTCAATAAAACATATATATATTTACATATAGATATATATATATATAAAAATAAAAAAAATAAAAACAATAGAAAAAAAAAGAGGGAAAAGGAGAAACAAAATTTATTAAGGCAAAAAGGAATGATTTGAATTATCAATTACCTAACATTAATTTTAGGCTCAACTGTGCTAATTTTTTTGATCCTCTTCTTTTTTTCATCAGACAATTTAACGAAATGACACGTCTTCTCATATTCAGTATAACTTTTAATTCCAGGAGGTAAAGAGGGAATGATCTTTCTCTTAACGTATTCTTCAATAGGTTGAGTAACGCGCTTGTCCTTATTGCACAATTCACTTCTTAAAGCAGATTTCACCATCAATTTAATGGATCTTTTAGGAGCCCTCGCCAAAGCATTATAATAATTTGTCCTTTGATATTTGATCAAATTCTCAAGATTAAATTGATTCAAAAGATAGTTAAAGGACTTTTGCTTGATTTTTGCATTTTTCTCTTGAAATTGAGCGATAGTACTTTGAATGTCAGCTTCAATTCTTTCAACTATGGTGGACTGTTTACGTGACTCTGAAGTAGGCTTTTTCTTCAAGGCCGAAGAGGAAGACGATGGTCCATTTACCACTTGAGGATTGATCGTAATAGGTGGGAGGCAAGAAGTAACTTTCTTTTGCTGGGCGGCGGAATTCTTTGTAACATAGTTGAAAGCATCTTGCAAATCTTTTGTTTCTTTATTTCCTAGTTCAGAAGCTTTAAGATCAAGTAATAGATCCCTAAGTTTCTGAGCTACCTGCAAATTTTGATTGGGATCCTGGGAAGGATATTTCTGAGGATTGTATTTAATATCCTCATCCAAATCATCTTCCAATTGATGATCTTCTTTATTAACATGATCCTTAACAGGAATCGTGATATTGGATTCAAGACCTTTTCCCTTGGACGTGGCTGATGATAATTTTCTTTCATTGTGACCGATCGTCTCATTATCGCTGTATTCATTATTTGATGCCATCGTTGAAGTTGAAGATTCGCCATGTGAATCCACATTGCTGTAGAAGTATTCATCAAACAAAACCGAGGCCTTTTCATCACTTTTTACATTTTGACCATTTTGAGGGGTTTTTGGCTTCGGTTCGTTGTCATCAAATAATTTTGGCAGGAAGAATAAACTTTCTTTGATGTCAATGTCATTTGAATGATCATTTTCAGCAATTAATCTTTTCAATTTGACGTTAATTTCATTTAGACGAGTATTTTCGTCGATGGCGGCGGCGACGGTCAAATTTGCATGATTGATATCATTATCATTAATAATATCATTTGGCTTTATATTATTATCAGTGATCGCGTTCAAGTCCCCTTTTTTGATATCAACGATTTGATTTGATTTCGAATCAGTATCTTTTGATTCTGATTGGATAAACTCAAAGTCATCACTATCATACCCCTCAGATAAAGTTTCATCAAGTCCAAGAAGCGGTTTAATTTCTTTTTTAAAATCAAGGAATTCATCTTTGAGCCTCTTTATTTCGCGACTCTTTGTAATTGACTCGTTTTCTAATTCCTTGATACGTGACCTGAGGGAATCTATCAGATGTGATTGAGATATGAATTGTTGTTGATGTTTCCCAAAAATATTATCCATTTCCGAAGTTTTGGAAAGTTCATGTTGCAATTTGTCTTGAATATATAATTTAGAATAATTTTGAATATCTAAGCTCATACGTCTTCCAAACGTTTCAAACTCTTTTGCTTGCCTTTTTAATAACGTGAATAAAGTGTCGGACGGTGTTAGAGAATTTTTACCGTTGGAAAGGTCTGACTCCATAATTTTTTTTTTTTTTTTTTTTTTGGCGGAAGGGACTGCGGGTCAAAGGTCTATAATTTAACTTTGTTACCGTGGGGAAATGAGGAAAAGGTTTGATTTCGCAATGATATCGCCTGAATTGTTGCTTTTTATAAACATTTTGATTTACGGTACATAGTAGCACAGACTATGACGATTTAGACGAGGCGCAGTCACAATTTTAGGGAACGAAAAAACTCCCCGACTTGATCTTTGTCAGGAAATCAATCGCATGACATATCATATGGATTCTTTTTTTGAATCTCTTTTGATATCAACACGTGATAGGATCGATCGAACTTGATACGCTTTTTCTTTGCGGCTAGTTAGTTATCGTCACGAAACGGTCAGAATCACAAAGTAATTGTTTAAAAAGCTCAAAGGTAACTTTTCTAATTTGTTCAAAAAGATATGAAAAGTCGAACGCGAGAAATTTCTTTTCAAAGGAAAAAAAGCAGAAAACAATTATTATGATAAAGTACCTAATTAAACATTATAGGATAAATTAAAAATAAACAATACTTTATAACGATTTCATCAATTCATCAAGATTCACGACAAAAAAAAAATAAATAAAAACGTGGAAAAATAGCACAAAAGAAATAATGATTAAAATCGCAGATCATCAAACCTTTTAAAAATCTTTAAATTAATTTTTGCCTTGTCATTGTTTTAAGCCTCACAAACGTTCACATGAAAATCGTTCAAATTAATCAGTCTTAAAAGAAATCCTTTATTCATCATTCTAAAGGTTTTATTAAATTTTGGGAAAAAACGTCTTTCCGATTGAGAGAAAAAAAGATTTTTAAATCTTTTCAACTGCATGGATTTTTGAAGCTTTTTGAAGTCAATCTATCTAAATATTATTATCAAAGGACAGATATACTGTTTGGAAGGATGCACGTTTAATTTATGGTCTCCATAAAAAAAATGAAACATATATAAAAAACCTATATATATATATATTTAATTATATTTTGCAATTATTACAGGTGGAATAAATTATTTAATTCTCTTAATTGCATATATTTATTTATTGCCTTTGACTTCGTCTAATAATTTTTGTACTCCCATCCGATACCTAATATACTACTTCAAAATAATGGGACAATTATTTAGCAAGGATTGGTCCGATTGAAAAAAATGTTTTTAAATCAATAATAATATGATTTATTTATATATATACTTTTTTTTTTTCCTAAAAATACAAGTTGTCAATCAAAAAAAAAATGTATGACAACGATAGAAATATAACATGATACATTCGTATTATGAGTTAATCTGGAAAGTGATTAATTTTAGGTATAGAGAAAAGGAAAAAAAAAAATAAAGATCGACATCTTATTTATTTACGCGAAAAAATAACCGGATTTCTTCTTTAAACATGACCAAATATATCTTCTAAATCGCACAAAAGGCAATTCTTTTGATCATTACGTAAAGATGTAAATGACGATATGACGAAAATTGCGCGCGTCATAATTAGGTCGTACACGTGGGGTGTGGGAATTCTAAAAAAAGTTGATCCGACATTTTCTTTTCCATTTTTTTTTTCATTTTTCATTTTTTTCAAACGAGTACAAATCTTTGGGGAAAGTAAAATAAAAATTTGCTAACGACGTTCGGAAAAATTACTCTCGCATCAAAAAAAAAAAAACCTGAAGGAGATCATTTAATTTGAACTCATGGTTGCCCAATTATAATAATCCCAAACCTTTCATGATTATATGGTTGAAACGCGAAAGTAGGACATTACTTTGTTCGGGCCGTTTAAGTACCTTTATTCAACATCTGAGTATAGGATTCCTTATTTCGGATATACAGAAGACTTGTGATAGGCATATTATGATAAACAAAATTCGACATAATCAGCAAAAATGAATATAAATAAGGAACGATCGAACGAATAACATTTCTTATCTGACTTTTATTTTTTTATTATTATCAATTACGCATATATATATATATTGTATATGGTAAATTTTATTTTTTACGAGGAAAAATTACGATAATTAAACGAATTTAAACGATTAAAGATGCTTCTAAACATTCCTATAGTGGATTATGATTTTGAAGACGATAATTTTCATACGGAAGAAGTTCGTCAGATAAAATCAAGGCCTCTTAATGAAATGCTTTATCAAAAGTTGGATAAACAAACCTCAGAACTTGAATGCTTGTGTGAACGCATTAAAGATTTGGAAATACAACGAACGAATACCCAAAAACATCATCATATCCTTCCATCCAAAGAATCGGCATCTGCACCACCATCGATATCATATCTCTCACCAATTAATCTTCCTCCAATTGGTGAATTAATAGATTATCAGTCAATAATGAGACGTGTCGAAGAATTAGAGAGAAATTCGATTTTGGCAAATCATGAACTTGGGAGATTACGAAGGGAAAACGTCGACTTAAATGATAAAATTCCTTTATTGGTTCAAGTTGAAGTGAACCTTCAACTTAAGAAATTTAAAAAAGAGATAAGTAAAAAGTTATCGAATAATCATAATAATACTAATGATATGAAAATCGCGCTTGATCTTATGAACCTTATATATGATGATAATAACATTAATGATCAAGATGATGGAATGATTTCGAATAATACCTTGTATCCTTCGAACCCTTTTGAATCGAAACCTCAAAGGGTGGTCGTATCTCCCCCACCCGAACCCGAATTCCAAAGAGTCGTCCCTTCAAATAATTATAATTATAAATATAATCATATTTTTGAAAATCTTTATATAGAATTACAAAACACTGCGAATGAATTAAGTAATGATAGAGATTCTTTTAAAGAAAAAATGAATTCTTTAAGGGATATGTATAATAACCATCGTTAATTAAATCTCGTGATATATACCTTTATTTTTTTCATCCTAAAAAATATATATATATATACCAGTATTTTTTTTTTATTAATATTATTAATTATTTTTTCTCTCTTCAAATTACGTATAAATAAAATTAATATTTGAAAAATATTTCCATATAAAAAAACAAAAGGAAATGAGGTTTATTGTCTTATAAAACAGGTCGATGAAATTATTCATTATTGTCTTATGAAATAGGTCGATGAACCAATTTTTTTTTTTTACATTCACGCAGTTCCAAAACAGGTCAATGAACTCGATTTGAACAATGGCGTAAGGTGTTTTTGTTGATTTTTCCGGTCGATTAATTTAGTATAAAATGATTCATTTCCCGCTTCAAAAAAATTATAAGATTTTCCTTTAAACAATCTTCAAAAACTTAACACATTCATACCAGTTACAAAAGAAAATCATTAAATTAAAGATGGCATCCGGACGAACCAAACAGAATAAAATTGAAAAATCTTCATTAGAGATTGCTCCCATTTCCTCACATCCTTCATTCAATTATTTTACTTATCAAAAGGATGACGCTACAAAACCTGAACAACCCTATTCACCTTGTAATACATTTGAAAATTTTGATGATAAAACATCCATTTATTTTGCTGCTCAAAGAAATACAAGTTTTGAACAAATCCAAACCATTTATGATTATAAATTTAGTTTACCCTCTTCACACCCTTCATCCAATTATCTTTCCTCTCAAAGAGATACAGATTTTGATCAACTTCATACCCAAATCAAAAAGATTTATGATTATAAGGCCAGTTTAAAAAATATTCGATATCTAAAGCATTACTTTTCAAACGATCATTTAATTCGATATACAAAATCAGAACACTTTAATTCCTTAAGTGAAAAAATTAAAAGGTTAATAAATCTTCTAATCTATGAAATCTTATCAGATGAATTTCGATTGGAGAGTTTAAAACTTTCACAAAAGTTGGAAGAATACATCAAAAGAAATTTGATTCCTGAATTACCGAATGGATGTAAAAGTTATACTGAATTTGAGTATAATAAGGCGTTTAAATTTTTAAGTAAAATGCAAAAGAAGAGAGTCAAAAAATTGGTTCGGTTAGAGAATAATAATAATATGACTACCCCGAAAAGATTTCTTCAAAAGCAAAAGAAATCATACAAATGGTCAAATAATTACGCGGTTAAACATGGTGGATTAATCGTTATATGTGCAGACGATATAGAGTACTATTAGTTTTGGATAATATTTTTTTACAAATCTTGGATTTTTTTCTCTTCTCTTTGTATTCATATTATCATAAATTATTATTTACATTATTGCAATAAAGAAATCATTTACATGACAAAAGCATTTTTCTTCTCACTGTTATACTTTTGTGCCACTTCAGATGGCTTTTGTTGCCAATTTTGGGAAAAATAAGAGATGATGTGTGATACGTGCGTTAGAAAGACGTCAGAGAAACTTTTTTGTGCATGTGGCTATAGACAATAACCGTGTGTGTCACAGTCTCGCATGAAATTTTGGAATGACGATCCCAGACATTTATATTCAACGTCGTTTTTTTTTATAGTGTCATACATCCAAAGCGGCGCAGCAACTAGTTTTTCCGGATACACATACTAAATTAAGTAGTATTATTTATTTCCCACATTAACGTATTTTAGTATTTTTTTTTTTTTTTTTCCTTCTCTAGACCCCTCCCTTCTTAATCATGGAGAAAAGGAAAGATTTCACGGCAATGTTGTTTCAAATTAATCCAGATATTTTAGATGACAAGTATGAAAGTTACTCATCATCAAATGATCTCTATAATCTAATCGGAAGACAAGCGAAAGGGTCCGAAGAGATCCGCGGTCAGGAACCAAAATTCGAAAAAAAAATCAATCAAGTTTCCGTGAGGAATAATCAAAAACGAATTGATTCTCAAACTGTTTCAATTCAATCGTTAAGAGATCGTATTGAAGAATTGGAGATCGAATCTTTAATTCAAAATCAAAATATTAAAAACCTTCAACAGGATCTTAACAAGTTGAAGGCTAATACCATCAAGAGGATCATTAACGAGATTAAATGTGATGTCAAAGGTCATGAGAATCTTAAAAACGATTTGAAAAATTTGAAATCTTCCCAATCAACTTACATTGGATCTGCACCCAGTTCATCATCACCCTTACAGATCAGCTCAATCTATCAAAAAGATCGAGGATCGATTCCAAAACTTGCTCAACAAATTCAACAATCCATTACGAGTGAGAATATCAGTTTAAGAAATCTTCGATATTTAAAGCATCAATTTTCAAACGATCTTTTAATTCAATATACGAAATCGGATCACTTTAATTCCTTAAGTGAAAAAATTAAAAGGTTAATAAATCTTCTAATCTATGAAAGTTTGTCTGAAGAATTTCAACAAAAAGATGTAAAACTTTCACAAAAGTTAAACGAATATATCGAAAGAGGTGTAATTCTAGAATTACCAAAAGGATATGATAGTTATAGAGAATACAGTAAGAGTATGATGTTCAAGAAATTGAATAAAATTTTAAAAGATAGGATTATAAAGCTAATTCAAATAGAAAAAAAATTAAACACTGGAAAAAATTAAATTTTAGGTGGACGATTAGGAATTAGAAAAAGGTTAGAAATGGAAAGTTTTTTAACAGAAATCTTGTTTTTTGAATTTGTATATATTTAAACAAATATGCATGTCGCCAATTACGGTCCGATTTACACATAAACATGAGAGATGGACTCGACTCAATTGGATATGATAAAGTGTAAACGTGATCAAAGGCGTAAAAAAAAATAAATATACTTTTTTTAAAAGATGGGATTGATCTTATCTAAACCAAAAAACGAGCTAAAAAAAATTTTTTTCGGATCAGCATATTTTAATTTTTTCCCTTTCCCCTTGTGATTTTTTTTTTTTTTTTTTTTTTTTTTTACGAATTCAAAAATCGTATAATAATGGAGAATTCAAATTTACAAAATAATCCACCACAAAATCCTTTTTATAAATATTCATTAAAACAGAGGAAGGAATCTGAAGAATTTGGTAGGCTTACGATCGATTATATCAAACGACAAAATGAAAATCTTCAACAATTATTTTCTGAAAGTGAAATCGTTGAATCGAGAATTAAGGATTATTGCAGGTGCAAAGAAAAGATTATAGAACAAGAACATTTAATCGGCTCATTAAAATATCGTATTGAACAATTAGAAGCTTCCATTGTGATTAAAAATCAAGATATTAATAATTATCTTAATATTATAAGAAAATCCAAGGAAGAAATGGAGTTGAAAGAAAATCGGGAGACATTAGATACCAAACAAAAGTGTCACAAAGCAGATTCGGAACTATCAAGGAAAGATCATATGACATCAAAAATTTCTTCCATTTCTTCAAACGATAATGAAAACAAGCAAACCAAGCAGGTACAAGATCCCCCTATATATACTATTACCATAGGTGAAATTATTAAAAAGTATGCCGGTAAAGTTCAGGAATCGCAAAAGCAAAAACAAGGAAACATAATGATATCAGACTCTTTATTAGACATCCCTTCAACCAGTAATGTTATTACCCGAGAAATATTGAAACAAGATGAAAATTTACAACCGACTTCGAAAATCGATGAATCACAAGATCTCATACAATTATATGATGATGATGATGATTCTACAAAATTGGAACAATCTCATCTTGCAAACGAGAGTCTTATAAATAAGTTGAACATTTCAAAGACGAGACATTATGACTCAATATATGATTTATATAATTTCTCTTTGTATCCTTCGAATAATTTTTCTTCATATTCATCTTCACAAATTAATTCAATTTGTCAAGAAAGCCAAGAAACTATTTCAAAACTTAAACTAATTCATAATCAACTTCAACAAGTAATCACGCAGAGTAACAATCCCTTGTTAATAGGTTAAATCATTTAAAATGTCTTTTGATGGAATTTTATGCAATAATGATGGAGAGATATCCAAGAATCCTTCCTTTGTCGCATAAATTCAAAGGATTAGAACAATTTCATGCAAATTGTTACCGAAACAGAAGCTAGTGGTCGGGTCAAACTTTAACAATTCTCTAAAAATCATTTCAATTCTTTTCAATAAAAATTAAATATTTCGTAAAGAAGAATTTTAACGAAAATGTAAAGGTACCAGGATACTAAATACGAATCTTAAAATGATCAAAGAGTTTGAAAGTTATTTATAAAATCACTATAAGGAAGGCAAACAAGGAATTCAAATGTAAAAATTATATTCATTAAATGCAGAGTTTTTTTTTTTTTTTTATTGATATAAAATTGTATAAAGAATATATATTAATAAAAATTTATATTAAAAGAACGTGATAATGATTCCATTTTTAATTAACCAAATCAGCCTAACTTATTTATTGAAGAATATTAAAAACAAAATGAAATCTCGTGCTTATTAAAAACTGTAGAATTTTCTCGTCTCTATTTAATTGGAAACTTTTTATTTCTTTACAATGATCTAAAATAAGAATATAAATATCAGATGGATATCCAAATATTTGTCGTAATTTATTATCCAATAATCAATAAAAAACGTAAAAATTACATCCCTTTTTTTTACTGTCGGATGTTTATCTAGACCAAAATAAGTAAACCCATTTTTGGAATATGCGTAAATAAAAAGAGGTTATATTACTATAATAGCCCAACATTTTTTTTTTTTGAATCAAAAATTTTCCCATACATCATTTTTATTTTATATTTTTCTTTTTTTGATTTTTTTTTGTCGATTTAATAATGGAAAGAAATTGTTACACCGACAAACTTCAACAATTAGATTCTGAAAATGATGTTGAATTGAAAATTAAGGTTCGGTGTGCATGTGAAGAAAAGTTCAGAAAACAAGAAATTTTAATTGACTCATTAAAGTCCCAAATTTTACGATTGGAAGATTATATAGATTATATTTTTAGTAGAAATCAAGAAATTGATGATGTTATTAAGACTATTAATGAACAAATCAAACGACTTGTAACGACAAATAAATTGGAAGATAACGGTGAAAGTTCAAATAACGCCGATTACAAGAGTTTAAACGATTTGAATGTCAAACAAGAGGCCAAATATAATTATAATAATTCCATTTCACCAAAAGACCAAGACCCTCCTATTTTTACAATTACAATGAGTGACGTTATTAAAAGATATACTGCTAAAGTTAAAGAAACGAGACAAAAAAAATATATTGTACCAGAACCTCCATCCAATGAAACTTCATTAAAAAGTTCTGTTACTCAAAATGGAGGTGTAATTGAAAATTTAAAAAGGTTGAAAAGTTCGAAGAAAGATGAAAAGGCTGAGTTACAACACACAAATGATGCAAAAGCTGAAGAATTGCAAGTTCGTAAACAGGCAAAAAAGGAAACAAAATCGAAATTAAAACAACGTGATGCTGAGAACAAGGAATTTGAAAACAATTTGAAATCGTCAAAGAAATCTCATGGTGAATCAGCAGACGAACAAGATTCCGCTTCCAAACAGATTCATAAAAAACTTCAACAAATAATTACGAAAGAGAATCTTAGTAGTATTGTTAGATTTAAACAACTTTTGTCTTTAAATGATTCCTTTACACATAATGAATTAATTAGATATACAAAAACAAATGATTTTAATTCATTAAATGATAGAACAAAACGATTGATCAATATTCTTATCCAAGATATTTTATCGACTTCTACCACTTCTCAAACAAATGAGAATGATGCTACAAGATTTGAAAAACTTCACAAACAAATTATTACTATAGCAGAAAATAGAGGTAGAACGATTAGGATAGAAGATCTTAATTTTCTAAAAGACCCCTCCGTATTTAATATTTTAATCCATTATTCAGAATCTCATAATTTCGATTCTTTAAGTAACCAAATTAAAAGTTTCATTAATTTGATTATATATAACAACTTAAAAGAAGAATTCAATCAGCAAAAAGTAAAGCTTTCACAAAATTTAGAAGAATACATTAAAAGAGGTTTAATACCACAATTACCAACAGGATATCATAGATATTCCGATTACGAAAAGACCATTATGTTCCTTTCGTTAAGCAAAAAACAAAAATCGAGGGTTAGAAAATTGATTGCGTTAGAAAAATAAAATGGCGCAATAATTTGCGACAATCACCTATAAATAATTTACCAGTTCTTTTAATTTATCCATTTTAGAAATGATAGAATGTCGGTTTAATCACGTGATAACAATGGCGTCCAAGTTTTTGTACCACAATGCAATAAATGCATAAAAGAATTCTTTTTCTTTCACGCAAATTCAGTATGGAAATGCAAGAGAAAAACATTGCGGAAAATTCCGCAGTAATTCGAAAAAGTTTGGAACTAGAACTTTCATATCAAGAGTATTTTTTGGAAAACATTGATGATGAAACTCAAACAAATTTAGAATCACAACCTTCTTATCAAGATTACCTTCTAGAAAATATTGTAGAAACTTTAGATACACAACCTTCATATCAAGAATACTTTTTAGATACCATTGAGGAAGGTTCTGAGGAAATTCAAAAAAATTCCGAATCACAACTTATACATCAAGAGTTCCATTTAGTGGAAAGTTCCGGTTTTGGTTCCGAGGTAACTCAAGAACCACATCCTTTAGAAAACATTGCGGAAGAAGCCCAACTAAGTTTAGAATTGCAACCTTCATTCCAAGAGTACTTTTTAGACAACATTTCGGAAAGTTCCGAAGAATTTCAAATAAATTTAGAATCACAACCTTCGCATCAAGAAGATCTTTTAGAAACCATTGTTGAAGCCGAAGAAATCCAAAAAAAGTTGGAATCACAACCCTTAGAAACCAATGCAGACATCACTACAGAATCGCAAAAAAGTTTAGAATCACAACCTTCATATCAAGAGTACCTTTTAGAAACTATTGAGGAAAATTACGAAGAAATTCCAAAAAATTTAGGATCGCAACCTTCACATCAAGAGTTTCTTACAGAAATTATTGTTAAAGAGTCCGAGGAATTTCAAAAAAAGTTAGAATCACAATCGTTAGAAAACATTGTAGACATCACTTCTACAAAAACTCTTGAATCACCTTCTCATCAAAAGTACTTTTTAGAAACCATTGAAGAAAATTCTGAAGAAGTTCCAAAAAATTTAGAATCGCAACCTTTAGAAAACATTGTAGACATCGAAGATTCTACAGACACTCGAAGGAGTTTAGAATCACAACCTTCAACCATCGTGGAAGAGTTCGAAACAGAATCATTTAAAGAGCAATTTTTAGAAACCATTGAAAATTCTGAAGAAAGTCAAACATATTTCGAATCACAACCCTCATATCAAGATCAAGAGCACATTTTAGGAAACATTGTGAAAGGTCCTACAGAAATTCAAAAGGATTTAGAATCACCACCTTCATATCAAGAATACCCTTTAGAAACCATTATGGAAGATACTGCAGAAATTCAATACTTTTTAGAAAGTAACCTTCAAGATTCTACTAAACCTCTTGAACCGATGAAAGATTGTATTTGTAAAGAGCAAATGGAATCTCTAGTACAATTAATCGACTCATTAAGAACTCGGGTTGAAGAATTAGAAATTGAATCGATGGATAAAGATCAAAATCTTAAAAAACTTCTACGAGAATTTAATGAATTTAAAAAAGCAAGCTCTATGAAACATGATAAAGTTCCTCAAAAGCAGGCAAAAGCTACTCATTTGATTTCACCTTTGTCTACTAATGGCATTCATTCGCACAAAACTGTCGGGGGGACTCATTCAATTCCTTCACATATACCTTCTATACCAACTAAGGTACCTTTATCTATGGTTAAATCTTCAATTCCGCAGAAGAAATTATCATTTACTTTATCTAGACAGAATTTGAATTTGAATAAAGGTAAACCTTCTTCAATTCCACGAAAGAAAGTTTCTTTTGACTCTCCTCTTTCACATTAAATCACGATAACCGAATAAATTTTAACAAACCAAACACCTATTAACGATATATATATAAAATTATATATTTTTAAGAAATGGTTAGAAATTACATAGAGAAAAATTATATATTAAATAAAAAATATTTTAAATGACCAAATTGCTTATTAATTTGATCCTTTTTTCAAAAAATAAATGACACTAAGTAGTACAAAACTGACCGACTACTTACGTTTCACTGTACCCAAAATGAAACCAGTTTCGGAAACCGTTGTAAGTCCGGAGCTTGGATTAGTTTTATGATATCGGAAGTTTTAGTGAAAAATCAAAAAATGGAAATTGGTATTTGATGACAGAAATAATGTTCAAAGAAATTAATAGTATGCAAGTAAATCTTATAAATCTTATTACATTCGTGTACCTAGTTATGCTACTATAAGGTATACACTATATAATAATGATGCTATTTGAAACCTAATTTTAAAATTTAGAAAATTTTCGAAACTTAAACTTCATTGAGTTTATTAGAAGTTTAAGTATTTATTATAAACAAATAATGCCTAAAATAGTTTAGGAAGGTATCTTTAATAATGTTTTTGGCTTTTTTGTAAAATTTGGAAATTTATGATGATTTAAAATATTTAAAATTTGAAATAAAGACACTCAATCATTTTCAAAAAAAAAGACAAAATTAGAAACAACAACAATTATTTTTATTATTGCTTTTCATCTTAAATATAAAATGTCTTACTTATATTTAATATAAATTATGTATATTTTAGTAATAGTTAATTTATTATTATGAAGCATAAATACAAATCAAATCAAAGTTAATATATGTAAATATAAAAATTTTAGAAAATCAAATATTCTTTCAATTAATTAATTTGAAAAAAAATATTTTAAGAGTATTACTAATAGTAAAAGAATTTGAATATATTATTTAACATAATTTTAGAATTTGTATCAATCTCATATCAGTTAAAGACTTTAATTATATATGTAATTTTTCATAATAATTGATATACATGTAAAATATATAAATATATTTTTTAATTTTATTTATAATTATTATAATTTAAAATATTAATTATATTTTTAAAATAGTATAACAAGTTTTAATGTGAATAAATTATGTGCTTTTATTATTAAATAATATAAATAAATGAAATAAAAATTGTTCAAAACAAAAATTAACAGAAAATATTGCTAGTCAAATAATTGAATTAGATTTAGAAATTCAAGAAAAATATATAGTTATATTTTTTAGAAAATGTTAAAGATATTTGTCTTATCATACTAATATATACTAAAAAATAATAGTGTATAAATTAAAAAATTTAAGCATTATGATTTTAGTTACTCTAAAGTACTTTTGCTTATGTTCTGCTTATATTTTTTCATATTGTTGAATTATATATTTATTATTACCTTAAAAAAATCCTTTTATACTTTTTCTCAGTAAATATTATTATTATAATATGCAAATTAAAAGATAAAACATAATATTCAGAATAAAACCAAAATATAATCAGAGTTTTATATCAATTATTTTACTAATAAGAATCAACCAATTTTAAAATAAATAATAATTAAGAAAACAAAAATAATTTTTTTAGTTTATAAGTATTATTTATATTTACTTTAAATATAACAAAAAACTTGATATTAAGAATAAAAAGTTATGTAATGAAATAAATATAGTCAAAACTTGATATAATAATTCTTGATATAATAATTACTTAATAAATTTTAATAAACTGAATTTTTTTAAAATATTTTATAGTAAACTAAAGAATTTACTATATTAAATTCTAATTATATAGGAGGCGATCAGTAGAAAAAGGGAAAATCTAAATTTTGGTCAAAATTTATATTATTAGACCACTTGGCTAATCTCGATTATGTGTACAAATTTGGCTTAATAATAAAAATTAACAAAAATTTTGGATTTTCCCCTTTTCTACTGACCGTCTCCCATATATCAAAAAGTCTGATTTTCAATTACTATATTAAAAATAATTATTTTTTTTCTTTTTTTGTATTTTTTTTAATACTTATTAATCAAATTAAATGCAAAATTAATATTACATTATTTTGAGTTTTATATATATTTGTATAACATTATTAATATAATAGATTTTAATATTAATAGGAAAGTGTTAATAAATATTCTTATTAGACAAGTTTCTGAATGACAATTTCCTGAATATACCTTTTTCTGAAGTAAAATTTCCTAAACGTTAGTTTCCCGAATTGAACATTTTACTGAAATATCTGAATTCCCGAATGTCAATATCCCAAAATCTAATTTTCTGAGTAGTCATTTTTCTGAATACTAATTTTCAAATCCTGAATTCTGACATCCCGAATACCCAATATTCTGAATCCTAATATTTCAAATGAACAATTTCTTGAATCCCTATATCCTGAATAGATAATTTTCTAATATTTATAGCAATAGAGCAAATATTATAAAATAATTAAAAGTTATAAGTTATAGCTCTCTTTGGTAATAGATTACAATAAAAAATTTTAAACATGCATGTTTATATACTTGGGCAATGTTCAAGATCATTCGGTATATAAGGATTCAGGAATATGTATATTCAGGATATTGGAACTCAGTATACTGTGACATTCAGAATATCAGAATTTGAGAAATTAGATGTTTGGTAAAATGGATGTTTCATGCAATTCGGAAAATTAGATTTCAGGAAATTGGCGTTCGGGTAATTGGATATTTTGGTAAAAGGTCCAGTTCAGAAAATTGTCATTTGGAAAATATGACTTCAGGAAAATATATATTCGAAAAATTAGCTTTCGGGCAATTGTAGTATAACCAATAAATATAACTATTTAGTAATTTAAATATTGAAATTTATATGTATAAGTAATTATATAGTTAGCAATATTAAATTTGTTTGAATAAAAATTTAAATGTTTTTAATAGAGTTTTTTAACTAAAATTTATTAAGAAAAATTTTATCTTCTTTTTTAAAATTTTGATTAAGAAGATAAAATGTAGAGTATTTAATTAATAAAAAAAGAATAATCAATGATTTGGTTGATTTCTTTCTTATATAATCAATTAAAAATCGATTTATTTAATTGATCACGTGTAATCGATTTCTTAATTAATTGTATTGTTCAATTAAATAATAAAAGTAAATATCAATTTTTAATTGCTTGATCATTAATTGATTTATTAATAAGCATCAAAAAATTATAATAATAAGCTAATTATTATCAATTACAAATATTGTAATAATAATTAAAATCCCTTAATTTGTAAATATACAATTATACAAAGAATTATAATATTTACTATTTCATTTTACAAATAATAATTCATTAACAGTTTCTGGTTTTAAACTGGTCTATTCATTAGTAATTTGATTCCAGCATCACTAAAAACCGTTCACTTAGAACAGATATGGCTGGTATATCCAAATATTTTTAGCTATCTTAAATAAAGTTAGAAACCTTTATTTATTATCAATCCACCATTGAAATGAATCCATTTCAAGTAAAACTTGCGGGATTCTAATTAGTGCTCCGAAAGAGTCAGGTCAGACCCAGGTGATCGACCCGACCCAGATTTTAAATCGAGTCAGGATTGATAAATTTGATGACCTGTGACCTGCATGACCTGACCCGTCAGGTTAGGGTCTTACTGTTGCTTTGACCCAGAACAACCCAGGTGACTTGAGATAACGTTATGATGATGCATGTATTTTCCCACACAAAAAAATTTACCAAATTTTAGTTTTGTTTGTCGTGTTTTTTTCCCACATGCTAAATTTTAATTTGTTTGTGGCTTATATTTGCGAAAATATAAATATGTCTGAAACTACTAACCTTATTGAACCAGTACCTCAACTTGGAAAATGAAAAAGTTTGCGTAGTGAGCTCTTTATTAATATTACTTTGAGGAGAAAGACTTTCCATCAGAACATAAAAATGCGAAAACACACTGTGAAGTTAGGTGTCTTAACTGTTCGTAAGTAAAAAATTTTAAAATGGAAAGTTTTAATTGAAAATATATACTTAAT